AAAAATTAAAATTGAAGTCAAACAGACTTAAAATACAATTTAAAAAAAATAAAAACCATACATATTGAAACGCGAGTACAGAGTGGCATCGGCCAGAGGCTAAAATGGTCGACTTGTCAACGCCAATAACAGTTATAATAATCAAACTTTATAGGGTAGATCACCCCAGACCTAACCAGGCACTACAAGTTAGTGGCAGGGTCACTAAGGAATTCATTAAACACACACAAAAATAAAGAAAAATACAACACATTTTGTATTTGGTGTCATTTCTCACCTTCATCATAATACGGAACCTTAAAAATAAGATTCTCACTCCCAAAAGTTTGTCGAAAAGTGGAACATGGCCAGATTAGCACAATAAAGAAAGGAAAAAACTAGGTAGCCAGCCAATACGAACTTTACATCTGCGCATACACATACATACATACATTCACATACACACAAATATCCATGTTCGAAAAATAAAACATCTCTATGACACACTAAAAAACATTCACATAACGCACACACTCAATTAAACTGAAAAAATAAGAAGAAAATCATCCTTGATAATGGCTAAAAGTATAGCCGAAAGTGCTCGGAACTAGAGAACATTTGGGCAGTTTCTACACACCCTGTGTCCATAAAAGAAAGCTCTTGTTCGAACATAATTTTTAAAAAAACTAAATAAAAAGCTTAACTGTAGTACCTTGTCTATCGTTTTTAATGAAAACATGTATAAATGAATGTCTGCTGCCTAAATACAGAATATATATATATTTATCAAATCAGAGTGAAATTATGTTTTAAGTAAATACTGAATGCAGAAAAGTGTGAGACGACATATATATATATATATATATATATATATATATATATATATATATATATATATATATATATATATATATCATCTCTCATATTATATATATATATATATATATATACACACATACACTGACGAATATACTCTTAGATTAAAAACGCAATTCATTTACAGAAACTTCTCTCATATTATATATATATATATATATATATATATATATATATATATATATACACTGACGAATATACCCTTTGCTTAGATAAAAAGCGCAATTCATTTACAGAAACTTCTGCTGTATGAAAAAATCAAAAATAAGGATTAAAAAATTCATTTTTAACTATTATTATTTTGTTTTCTTTTTATTTCTCAGATATCTTTTATAATTTTTTATGGATTGAAGTATATCTTAAAAAAGTATTTCGCACATCTGAACTTCGTAAAAACAATACGAATTTTCAAGAATTTCTCCCTGTAAGGATTCGTTATTTATTCATATCTTTTCCACTGAAATGTTTGCCCCAAGTCATACTGGAAGGGAAAAAAAAATCAAAAGTGTCAAATATTTGTTTCTGTTTGCCTCAAGGATGCTTGGGCTGTTTTAAATTTAAAAATAAACAAAAGTTAAAGAACAAGATAAAAGATATAATATAAAAAAAAATTAAATTTTACAAATAAAAAACAATACAAAGCGTGAAGTTAAAGGGCGGTAACCTAGCTGCGGTGTGGTTAAAATCATCTCGAATACCTTTGGGCAAAACCAAAGCGTGAAATCTAAAAATTAATGCAAAAAAATCAAATGAATTAAAAATCAGCCATATAGGTTCGTTATTGTGAAAAAACACTTATTTTACCAAAGACATATGTATTTTCAAAATATTTCTTTTCTCGACTATGCATTTACTTGAATTGTATACACAAAAAACATTATGCATCGGAAATTTGAGATCAAAATTGAGCCAATAAATATATCTGAGGCTAATGACTTAGTGGTACATCTATCTACCGATCTACACACGCACACACACACGTGTATGTTTGTGTCATTGAATAATATAGATATATTATGTCTAATTATTTTATGCCAATGCTTTCCAGTTTTCTAATCTGTTTCTTGATGTTGATATGAAATTCAACAAGGAAGACGCCGTAGTTTATCACTTTTACAATAGCGTGTTTGTCATTGTAATTTACCCTTGAATATGATCTTAGAAAAGGTTGAAAGTACTTGAGTTTTAAAAAAAAACAAAAAATACGGCACCTCATTGTCATCAAGAAACTCATTAAACATATGGAAAGGATGAAAAGTATGAAAAATAAATAGACACAATATATCTGTATTATTTAAGGAAACATTTCTTTCTACCTAAATATGCACGCACATACACACAATATGTATCTAATGCAATGCTTCAGTCAATGAGAAAAGATTATAACCAATCATATTAAGATTTTTTGTTGAGAATTTTTATTTGGCTCAGCGAAGCATTTTCGAATTACAATTAATATTAAAATACTAAAATGTGTGTGTTTTTTTTTTAAATTTCATGCAGAAATTTTTAAAAATTATATATTTCATTGAGAAAAAGGAATGATTGATTTTAGCATCTTAGTCCTTCCAATAGTATATTTTGTCAAAGATTGCAATGAAGCCGACAAATATTGATGACCTAGAGTTGCCACTTATTTTGGTGGGTGTGGTTTATTAATTTGTTTATTATTTGCTAAGTTTATTTACTTATTTTTTTCTGGGAATTTATTTTACTTGTTTTTCTTTCTTTCTTTATTTTCATTTATTCTTTTTCATTTTCAGTTTTCGATTTTTAAGTATCGTATTAAAACATTTTTTCGTGTCTGCATTTTGAGATGAGTTCTGATCGTTTATTATATAGTTTGTTTAAAAAGTGGACATTGACGTCAATGCCCAAACCTTAAACTATATATATATATATATATATATATATATATATATATATATATATATATATATATATATATGAAGAAAATATCTGGAAAAAAAACAATACAAAAAATCCTTAAAATGCGATTATGTTGTTTTAATATGAATGAAATGTCGACGTCTGACGTTTCGGTTTAATAACCTTCTTCAGGACAATATTCATTAAAATACAATTAACATAATCAGTATAACACGACGAAAACGATGGACATAAAAAAAAGTCTTATCCAAAACAGATAAATGAAAATTTTAAATGATCAGCTTTCCGTTTGAGCGTGGTCACGTTTTCGTCAAATGGGCGACGCTTTCACAACGTATTCTTAAAAATTTTATAAATTTGATTCCGATGGAAAGATTTTTCATATATATAGTTCATTAGAAAATCTTTTCTGTTCTTGTAGGAATACGCGGAGACTAGTAGATTCCTGTATCTTCGGATAAGCATGCAGTCCTCCATGTAATAAAATGAATTCAGGTTTGTATTTCCAGTGGACAGTATGATAAGCAAATATAAATGGATATAAATTAATATTATTGTATTTTAATGAATATTGTCCTGAAGAAGGTTATTAAACCGAAACGTCAGACGTCGACATTTCATTCATATTAAAACAACATAATCGCATTTTAAGGATTTTTGTATTGTTTTTCCAGATATTTTCTTCATTCTGTCGGATTTATATCCATTTATATTTGCTTATCATATATATATATATATATATATATATACCTTCACTTTTTTGCTAATAAAGAGAATGGCCCGATAAAAAAAAGGACACAAACTTGATGAAAACAAAGTTTTATCGTTAAGATATATATGTTAATATTAAGAGAAAAAAAAAACAAAGTATTTTTATTACTTTATTGAATTTTTAATCCTTTCTAGCACGTTCGAAACTTGGGTTAAAAATTCTTGATTTTAGACTATTTTTGTAAAAATCATTGTTTAAAAATTATTGTAAAAATCAAATAAATGTCAGATTTTAATAAAATTTTTAATTAAATTATTTTTTAAATTGATTTTTAGAAAATCTTGGTAAGAATATTTTTTAACACCTGTTACCCAACCCCACTTAATTTTATGAAATTTCAAGAAAGTAAAATATCAGCCGCTTCGTATTTTATTCGATAAAAGCAGTATTCCTTGGAGAATTTAAAGCATCAATTTGTTTTTGGCAAACAGAAACACCATTCACCGAAAATCCGCAAACTATCATAAAATAAAAAAATTCAATAAAATTATGAAATTATTTAATTAGAAAAGCTTTTAATTGTTTTTATAAATAAGATATATTAAGGACATTATTGCCTTAAGAAAACAATTTTTTCGTTGAATAATGAATTTTCACAAGAAATGTTTCCATTTTTTTTTTAATTTAATTATAATAATTTATAAAGTTTTAAATCTTTTCAAATAAGTGTAAACTATATTTACTAATCATAAATGGAAAAGCTTAATACCAGTCTTCAAACACCAATAATTTTGATTTTTTTTTTTACGTGTATAAACATGCCGATTTTTGAAAGTATGGGCGACTATACACATTATCAGAAAATAAGAGCGATGACGACTCTCAATTAATAGTCAGCATTCATGAAATTATAGAATATTTTCCAAAATTTTTAAGATTACGGAGTACTTAAAAATTATATAAAAAATCGATCACATCATTTTCTTAAATTATGCTATACAGATAAAGTCACCGGAGAACACGAGTCGATCTGTCATCACCTCGTCAGCAATGTAAACATGGCTACTGTTGACGTAAAAACTTCATTTCTGCGATATTTTAAATTTAAAATAAATAATATTTGTTTCACATCATATTAATTACACTTTAAATCAACTAATTTTCTTAAATTAAAAAATTTAAGAAAAGCATATTTTTTTGCAAGATTTTTAAAACCATGAACTACCAGTTTACAAATATCTCAATATGGACGACTTTGACGATATTACTGGAAAAAATTACAAGCGATTCCAATCCATATAATTTCTTTAGTAAATTCAACAGCGTATTTTGCTTACTGGAAATAGTAAATGGAATTCCTTAGATTTCAATTAAAGCTAAAATGAAAGTTTCATGAAAGCTTTTTCATTTTTAAAAATTAATTTAAACCTTAGGTATCGTGATTTTAGTGACAGTACCTATAATATATATATATATATATATCAGTCACTTCACATCTATCTATATATCTATCTATCTATTTTTTATCTAATTCAGTCTGTTCATGTTTATTTATCTCGATCACTTCACATCTATCTATCTAATTCAGGCCGTTCATATCTATTTATCTCGGTCATTTCCTATCTATCTATCTCAGTCTGATCATATCTATTTATCTTTTTAATTCAGTCAATTCACATCTATCCAATTCTGTCTGTGCATATCATTTTTTCTATCTATCTATCTCTGTCATTTCTCTATCTATCTCTCTCTCTCTCTCTCTCCCTCTCTCTTATATATATATATATATATATATATATATATATATATATATATATATAAAGAAAGAACAGTAAGATAAAAAATCCGGTGTTCTGATAGATATATTTTTTTTTTTACAAAATAGTGCTCAATGTAAATTTACAGAGCATTAATATTATAAATTGATTTATTTAAAATATGTTTTTTTCGCTACACAGTTCTAACCATGTTTCAAAAATTCGCTTGAGGATGAAATGGAACTAATGTCTTTAATTTAATTACAAAATTAAATTCATAGCTTTTAGCTTCCATTTTTGAAACATGGTTAGTACTGTGTAGCGAAAAAAAAAATATTTTAAATAAATCAATTTATATATATATATATATATATATATATATATATATATATATATGCGTGTGTGTACTTTCTCTAAGAAAGATTAAGAGAAAACAGTAAGAAAAGAACGCTCTTTAAGATAAGCGAAAAGAAACGAATATAACAAAATGTCAACTGTAACGAAAGACTTCGAACTCAATTATATCAAAGCAAGTTTATTAACAAACGCCAATTTCAATTATCTTTTCTTCACACTTGACGGATGCAAAGCACACACGCGCAGTTTTATAAAAATAGCAGCACGCATATACACGCATACGCACAAATAAACACAGTGAAGCTTTATAAAGACGAGGAATAATAATAATAATAATAATAATAATAATAATAATAATAATAATAATTACTATTATTATTATTATAATGCCAAATTCATTGTTAACACTAATGCTACTAATATTATCATTACAATTGCCATATCTTAATTATTTCCTTTCTCCTTATTATTTATTTGTTTTGTCTTTGTTATCGGAATCTAGTTTGCTTTATTTCGCGCGATAAGCGCTCAGATTTAAAGTCAAGCTATCATAACAGACAGTTTACGTGAGGATAATGACGGCGGTAAGAGAATTAATTAGTGGCAGGTTCCATTGAAGCAGCTAGTATCAAGTGGCAACGTTGGACAAAAATTGATCTTCTCTCTTAGAATGGAATTTATTTTTCGAAAGATTTGACACGACTTTGTGGCAGGAGAAATTTTTTTTTTTTAATTTCTTTTTCTCCTTTTTTACTTTCGTGCTGGAAAGTAAAAAAAAATACCGCGTTAAACACAAGTCAAAAATAGGCGATTAAATTGAGTAAATCGAATGAAGCCTTGACTAAATAGCTCTGAGGATTTCAGTTGGTGGTTCGATTGAACCTGAGGCAATTTTAAGTGTAAAAAAAAAAAAAAAAGAAAAAAGATCAAAAAACGAAAAACAAAGGAAGTAAGTGGAGAACGAAAAAATTAAAAAGACGAGAAACAAACGACGTAAAAAACACTAATGCAAATTTATCGTTAATAATTCTATTTTATTATCACTGCAAACTTATTATTATTTTTCCTATGCCAGGTGTGACTAAACGCATTATCTTCACCTCTTCTTGGTGCATGACACCACATAGAAGTTTTCTTGTCAAAGCAACTTTACAATATTTTCATGGACTAAATACTTAATACCTACATAATCACGCACTCACACACAGACACAGAAGTGTTTTTTTTTTATCAAGGTTCGAACATCGACGTCGTAACTCTATATTTCAACAGGCTATGATTTATCTAAGTCCAAGAGTATATAAGTTAACGTGTAAATATTTTAGATATATGTCGCGTCACTTCACATGGGGGATCATGGCTCTCAACGACTTCCTATCCCTTGTAAGCCTTAGCAGTTTTTTGCCCTTTCCTAAGACTCCCTCCACCCGTTCCACCATACAGCTTGTCAAATAACTGACTCGCTGTCTTCCCCTATTTCTCAAGTCTTCCTTCATCATTATCTGTCCAAAGAATTTCAGCTGTCTTATCTCTGATACCATGGACCGAACAATTTTTTTCTCTCTCCAGAATCTATCTTACAAATCTATAAGTCTATCATTCGTCCATGTTAAGAATATTGCTGTCACATATGGTCCGGTAATTCCTGATATTTACCTTGATAAAATCCAAAGAAGAATCAGCAATATATATTGGTCCTGATCTGGTGGCTCGGCTCTAGTTGTTTTACCAAGGTTGCCTCTTCATGTCTTTTCTGTAAATACTTTCATCGTAATTGTTCGGACGAGCGCTTTGCTATGGTACCTAGAGTTTTTGAATTTAAGCGCAGCACTAGACTGGCGTCAAATTTACAGATGAGTTGGCTAGATGTAACCGTAAATCCTATGCTAACAGTTTCTTCTCTTATACTTTTCGCTTGTGGAACTCCATTTCGGTTCCATGCTTTCCAGCCAACTTTAATCTACAAAAAATTAAATGCAATGCCAATCGCTATCTTCTGTCCTCCTGATTACTCTCTTCTTTTTCTGCTCATCATTATTGTTTCTGTTCCTAATTCTTCCACACCCTATAACCCCCTTGGGACTTAGTGGCATTATTGCCTTGCTTAGGGTGATTCCAAATGTAAAAAAATATGAGTAACGTCGAAGTTTTGGAGAAAATGGAAACAAAAAGGGGACTAATACAGGGTTGGTGAGTTGAGGTTTCTGGTGCATGTACTGAGGAAGGAAGAGGGGGGGCTTGGAAAATCTCACAGGACATATTGAAGGTAATAGGGACAGAGGAAAACAACTCATGATAAAAGTGGATTCATTCTCATTTGATGAAACAGACAATTTTACGTGAAAGGTGCCATAAGGTCGTAGAAAGCAGGGAAACGACTTTCATTCAAAGAAGTACAGAAAATGTTTATAATAGAATTGAGCAGCAGAGATTCACCCAGCATGGACTTCTCTACTTCAAGGGAAAATACGAAAAAACTTGGAGTAATTTTTTTTCTACTCTGGTTTGGAAATGACATTTCTTTCTTTCTTTAAACAATTCTCACGCTTTCATGTGTCGCGAAATAAACTCGATCAATTTTTTTTTATTAATTAAAATTTAAACGTATACAAAGTAGTTTAATCACTGTTTCATTTATTTCTCGAGAGTGATCAAGGATTGCAAAAGATTTCCGAAATATATATCTGTTTTAACACTAAATTATCCGTTGGAATTACAAGTTTTTATTCTTTTTAATTCAACTTCAGCAATGGAATCAAGCGTTTTTACAAATAAACGACTTTCATGTTTGAATATATTTGCTATGAATTTGAATGAATAAAATATTTACCAAAACATAAACTGCAATGCTATATCAATCCGCCTTGATCTTGTTAAACGGAAATAAATGGATGGCAGAATAGGGCTTACGAGTAATTACAGATATACAAAATTTATTAAGAACTACAAGCGGCAGGATATTGGGGAGAGCCATGACCGGGGACACTGCAAATAAAAATGTGTTCGGTTTATTGCCACTTTATTTAAAACATTTTAGTTTATGCATCAGTAATAAAAAAATAGTATAGGAAATAAAGAAACTGAACATGGAATAGGCCACTTTTATCCAACACTGTTAAATGCAAACCAAAACCAAAATATTAAGACTCTCATGCAGATGTCATACCTGACATCCAACTCGTTCAGATATGTATAATTATTATCTATAGACAACCATTTTTCTCAGATCAATAATTCAAAACGGCTTCAAGCAAATGAATCCTCGAGGTCTCACAAAAGACAATCGTTCATCAGATTTTGTAGACTGGCACTACAGAATCCTAAACAAAGAACTTTTCAAATAATAAATCTCAAACCATTTGAAGATTTCCAGCAGGAGCAACAGCAACTTATATGGAAGAAGAGAAAATAATGATATAATCAAAATACTGATATTCCACACTGCCTTAAACAAACAGTTATGAAAGAAATCCCTATAAATATTAGAAAGAGCAACAGCAGTGGATATGAGAAACTTGTTTTCCTGAAAAAAAAACTCTTTTAATTTAACTTATAAATTACAACAGAACATAAGACTTACAGCTCGCTCAATGAATGTCGAATGGAAACAGCTACCTCACCAAAAATATCAAAATGAACGAGAAAATGTTAAAACTTTAATGGTGGGCTTCTGATGGTTCAAATATTATTGTTTAAAATGAATAGGCCACTGATGTAACAGTATATTGCCGTTTTGAATGAAATGTTTAACAAAGCCTTCATCCCGCCAGTGGTAATTGCATTTATCCCATAATTGACGCATTACGATCTTTCTACACCAATATAACTCTTGTTAGGTTACAACGATTTAATGGGATTTTTATTTCATTCTTATTTATTTTTTTCGCTGGCTATCTATATTTTCCTTTCCTTTGATTTTTTTTCACTTTATCTCTATCCATATATTAATTCGCTTTTTTTACTTGATATTAATCCTCATTTTCTACTTAATCTCACTATTAATCGGCTTTTTCTACTTAATCATAATATTAATCTTCTTTTTCTACTTAATCTTTATATTAATCCGCTTTTTCTACTTAATCCAAATTTTAATACGTTTTTTAACTTAATATTAATCCGACCTTTCTACTTAACATTAATCCGCTTTTGTTACTTAATCTTAATATTAATCCGCTTTTTCTACTTAATCTTATTTTTAATCAGCTTTTTCTGCTTAATCTTAATATCCATCCGCGTTTTCTATTCAATCTTAATATTCATCTGCTTTTTCTACTTAATCTTAATATTAATCCGGTTTTCTATTTAATCTTAATCTGATTTTTTTGCTTAATTTTAATATTAATCAGCCTTTTCTACTTAATATTAATACACTTTTTCTATTCAATCTTAATATTAAACCGTTTTTTTCTACTTAATCTTAATTTTAATCTACTTTTTACTGCATGTTCCCACCTAAAATCTTTTCCCCTGAATCTTTGTTTTTTTTTAATTTTTATTTTAGTTTTAACCGACCTTTTTATCCTTCGTCTATTTCTTAATTCTTTTCCTCACATCTTTCTCCTTTTCATCACATCTTTCTCCTTTTCCTCACATCTTTCTCCTTTTCATCACATCTTTCCCCTTTTCATCACATCTTTCCCCTTTTCCTCACATCTTTCTCCTTTTCATCACATCTTTCTCCTTTTCCTCACATCTTTCTCCTTTTCATCACATCTTTCTCCTTTTCCTCACATCTTTCTCCTTTTCATCATATCTTTCCCCTTTTCATCACATCTTTCTCCTTTTCCTCACATCTTTCTCCTTTTCCTCACATCTTCCTCCTTCTCCTCACATCTTTCTCCTTTTCCTCACATCTTTCCTTTAATCTTTCTTTTTCTTTTCTTTTTTTTCCTAAATGAAATCTTCGTCTCTCTTTATTTCTCTCTTTGTTCTTTTCTCTTTCTCTTCTACTTCTTGCTTTCAATCTCATTGGCTTTTATTTTGTTTTTATTTTCTAACTTTTCTCCTCCTTGTTTCTCTCTTTCCCTCTCTCTTTTTATTTCTCACTCCCTCTATAGCTTCTCTCTCATTTCTCCTCTTCATTTCTTTGGTTTTCTTTCTTTTCTCTACACCTCTCTTTTTCTGTCTTTTATTTCACTTTTTCCTTATCTTCTCTTTATCAAGTTTGCAAATATCTGAGTAATAGATAACCTTGTTTTCAACTGTTCATTATTCTTCTTATTGAGAGAATCCCTATCAATGTGGTGGCAAGCTTTCGCTTTGAGTTTTTTCTTCTTTAATGATGGCGTTCCAATCCAAGTTAAGAATTAAGTGTCTGATGAAGAAACCGGAAATTCGGAAGGTAAATCTCTCTGTCGCACCATTTTTTTTTTCTTTTCTGAATTTCCTTAATCTCTTTTTCTTCTCTTTTGTTTGTTTGTTTCTTTCTTTCCTTTTCTGTTTCTCTTTTACACATACACACACACACAAAACATACAAGCAGACATCCATTCTATCCCTATACATTTGGTTTCTTTTGTTAGGCACCATTTAATAAGTCTGTAATTTGATCCGAGCAAGTGTACTTCGTTCAAAGCCGGATACAACATGAAATATTACCAAAAGGCAGTCGAAATTGCACAAGATTTTTTCTGTTTTTTTTTTCTCTCTGCTTTCTCTCAGTCGAACTTTCTTTTTTTTCTTTCTTTTTTTCTTTCTTTCTCTCAATCAGACTTCACCCTTTTCTTTCTTTATCTCTCTTTCTTTGTCTTTTTTCTTTCTCCATTCTTTTGAATTTTTCTTTTTCTTTCTTTCTTTTCTTTCTTTCTCTCAATCGGACTTCCCCCTTTATTTGTTTTTCTTTTTTCTTTCTTTTTTTTTTTTGTTCCACTCAATGAGACTTTCCCCTTTTCTTTCTGTATCTCTCTTTTTCTCTGTCTTCTTTTTTTCTGCCTTCCCGCTGGATTTTTCTTTCTCATTGTATTCGTTCTTTCTTTCTCTCAATCGGACTCTCCCCTTTTCTTTCTTTCTGTCACTCTTTCTTTCTGTTTCTTTCTTTCTTTATTCCTCTCAATTAGATTTTCCACTTTTCTTTCATTTTGTCTCTCTTTCTTTCTGTTTTTTTTTTCCTTTCTTTCTTCTGCATTCTGCTGGATTATTTGTATTTCTTTCCTATTGTATTCTTCCTTTCATTCTTTCAATCGGACTTTCCTTTTTCTTTTTTTTTCTCTCTTCCTTTCTTAATTCTGTTGGATTTACCCTTTTCTTTTTCTCAGTATTCTTTCTTTCTCTCAATCGAACTTTCCCTTTTGTTGCTATCTTTTATTTGTTTCCTTCTGCTTTCTCTCGGATTTTTTCTTTTAAACTCCGTTTTTTCTTTCTTTTTTTCTTTCTTTCTTTTCTTTCTTTCTTTCTTTCTTCTTTTTTTTGTCTCTATCTTTGTTTTCCTTTATTCTTTGTTTTCTAGTTTAATTCTCAGTTTTCTCTTAATCGAACGTTTCCTATTCTTTCTTCCTTTCTTTTGTTTCTTTCTCTCAATGCAACTTTTCTTTTTCTTTTTTTCTTTTTTCTTTCTGCTTTCTCTTAGTTTCCTTCAAGCTTTTTTTACTTCTTTCCTTCTCGCTACTTCAATCTTATTGATTTACTCTCTTCATTTTTTCTTATTTTTCATATCATTCTCTGTCAATATCCGCATGTCTTTTGTCTCTACTTATCTATTATTTTCTGCTTTTTTGTTTTTCCATATTTTATTATTTTCTCTCTCTCTCCCTCTCCCTCTCTCTCTCCCCCTCTCTCTCTCTTTTTCTTTCGTCTTTCCTTTCTTTGACTTTATCTCTATTTTCTCCACTCTCTCTCTCTCTCTCTCTCTCTCTCTCTCGTTCTAACTTGCTTTACTTTTTCTCTCCTTACTCTTTATCCATTCTCCCCTCCTCAGTTCATTTCCTCTAAATCTCTCTCCCCTCTCTTTTTGTTTTTCCATCTAATTTTTCTTTCTCTATCATTCCCTATTTCTCTCTTTTCCCCTCATACTTTCTTTTACTTTCTCTACTTTTACTTCTTCCTCTTTTTCAATTACCCTCCCTTTTTTGTCTTTCTTTTTTCTTTCTCTCTCATATACGCTTTCTATCCTCTTTTTTCTATCTTATTTAGTTCTATCTCTCTTTAAACCCCTCTTTATATCTTACACTTTTCTAATTCCTTTTTCCTTTACTTCTCTTTTTTTTTTCATCCTTCCTAATCTCTTACACTGTTTTTCTTTTTCTTTTTCTCTAATCACTGACATTCTGTTTGTGTGGCTCGTCGTCTCCTGTTTATTTGATACATTGAAACTTACTTTAAGAGAAAAAAATAAAGAACTCATTAAAGTCCGTAGTTCCTCGCCAAATACAGGAAGTATTTAGATTAAAATAAATGATGCTTTCTTTTTATTGTGTGCTTAATGTGAAATGGGGTTTTTAAGTAGCCATCTTTCCTTTCAGCTAGTGGTTTATGTCACGGCTGTGTAAACGTTGATATTTACACCATAAAGTCATCGCTTTGATTTGAAACCCAAACATACCGCCCTGGCAGAGAAATGATATTTTGTTCCGCTATGTCACAAGCCGAATGTTCTGTTTCTCGATATATAAATGTCCGTTTGAATGTTACAGGTTTCATTTCTCATAAGTTTATCTTGATATTATTCTGAAATATACACGCACTAATGTATACTTTATTATTTGGGCAAATCTGTTCATCTTCGTTGTTATCGTCATCATCATCGGTTTCTTGACTGTTTCAGTCGCTGGAGAGAGGAAAAAAAAACAGACTTTGATTCTTTAACCTTTCAGTGTGCTTTCAGAAAGTTTGGCGACTCCCAATCTCTTGATCGACAACCGAAGCCCGCGAAATATGATGCGAGCCCGTACAGTTTTGCATTTCTTTTGAAATTTTGAATTCAGAGTTTTCCTTCTCCTAGACCAGTTGCCACCCAAGGCAATAGGACATATTGTGTTCTAATATTTAACCACAGATGGGGGGAGATATGGATTCATTTCTTGCCTCAAGGTAAGTGAATGTAATGAACTCAACTGGAATTCGAACTGTCTGGTTTCTCAATCCAAACCGCTATCCATTACTCCACGGATTGAGGAATCGGAGAGCCGAGTTCGAATTCCAGTCGAATTGTTATAGGGTTCTGTAAACGCTTCAACCGTTGTCCTTCTCGACATTCTACACATCTATCGCCGTCCTCGTTGACCTTTCACAGAACTTTGGAATTAACCTTTCATTCAATCCCCATGTGTTCGCATTCTTTTAAAGAGATATAATGCAGATGATATACCAACTAGTATGTATATATATATATATATATATATATATATATATATATATATATATATATATATGAGAGAGAGAGAGAGGGAGAGAAAAAAAGAAAGAGAAGGAGGGAGAGAGAGAAAGAAAGAATCAGAGATATGAGTTTGAAAAGTTTTCAGATGAAAAACCCATTTGAAAGTCTTAGACAAAGCTATTTAAAGAGTAAATAAATAAATGGAAAGTGAATTAATTATTCCTTTTTTTTTTAAAGAAATGATATACATACTGCATAGAAGTATGAAAACGGAAATAACTCTCAGAATTTACAGTAAAAGAAAACCAGAATAACGCTTACATTAATTCCTGATGGCTGACGATCGACTTTTCGACGTATTCAGTCAGTTACGTGTCTTGCGTGATACAGGCTTCGGCGATCATGTATCTATCGATACATGACTGATGAGCCATATTTTTTTCCCGCAGTAGGTTGCCAATTCTTTCTGTGGTAGCTCAGTTGCAATCCAAGGCTATATAACCTGGTCTGTCCTGCTATTTACCCATAGCTGGCGGGGGGGGGGAGAAGAGGGGGGTTCATATCATTCCCAAGGGTATTAGCACGCAAGTGAATTTAATGAATTCGACTGGAATTCGAACTCGGCTCTCCGATTCCTCAATTCGTGCCTCTATGCATTGCTCCACCATTACCAAAATAAAATTATTGCTCTTTTCCGTTAGTAACACTTACATAGGTTTCTAACCAGTCACTATGTGTTTTTCCTGATTTTCAACATATATATTTTTTGTAGTATAAGATATATTCATTTACCATTTCTGTTTTGGTATCGTCCTAATCCAAGCAGAGGAAACATCGAAAGAATGGCATTAAAGTATAATTAAACCAATGTGTGGGGGGGGACTAATGCATTGTAGGCATAAACCTATAATTAAGAGCGGTTTCTGTAAACCTACATTAAATAGCATACATTTTTTATGCCGGATTTTTATAAGTGTATAATTAATACTGGATATTCGTTGGTCGCCTGAGGGTGTGAGACTTGGAAAATCCTGGTCGAAGCAGAAAAAAGAGATCCAAGCATTCGAGAACAAAAGTTGGTGCTCTGGTAACAGAAAACCAATGGCTATGTACGGAGCAAGGTGAAAAGTCTCGTGGGCCGACAGGAATCTCTTCTCGCTAATAGTGAGCGTCAGAAGATGGCATGGTTTGGATTCATCACACAGAGTAACAGCTTTTACAAGACGACCATGCTGTTGAAGGGGGTGCCAGCGGGGATAGCAACGGACATGACCTGAGAGCCACCGCCAACAGATCATCATGGAGAAGGTTGTTTATTTTTTCTTCTGCCCTTAAGTTTTCACAAAAGCAGTCAAGGAACTACTACTAATGATGATGATGATGATGATGATGATTTTTATTTCAATTTTTATTAAAAAAAGAAAACGTATTGTTATTTTATTTATTTTTATACGGATCTATAATTAATGCCGGGCTTTTTAAAAAAATTTCATATGGGAACATTTTGAATTTTAAACTGGATTTTTATTTTAACTTTTTTATAATTATTAACATTTTTTTATCTTTGTTGTTAATTCCAAAAGATAAACACAGTATTAAAAGAGAGAAAAAGTTCGTTACAAACAAAGAAAAGAGTACTGAACTGCTAAGTGATGTCTGTCCTCCTGCATGGCAGCGAATGCTGGACAGTCTCCTCAAAGATGAGGAAGTGACTTCAAGCAACAGAAATATTGTTCTACAGAAAGATGCTGAGTATACCATGGACGGAACACATGAGCAACAAAGAGGTTTGGAGAAAATGGAAAGAAAAAGGAAACGTATACTTTACATCAGGAAAATTTTAAATTTCTGGGGCACGTAATGAGGAAGGAGGGTTTGGAAAACCTGATACTCATAGGGACAAAGTGAGGGGAAAAGGGAAAGGGGATAGCAGCGCGTAAAATACTTGATGGGCTTGAGCAGATGCATGGCAGAGCAGGGTTTGGGAGAAATGACAAAACTTAGTAAGATCTACAAGTGACAGGAAGATTGGAGGGCCATGATCGCCTACGTCCTGAAGGGACACGCATATAAAAGAAGAAAATCATCATTTGAATAAAATTTTCGTTCTTTTCCTTTGCTGTAAACTGAAGATTTTTTTAGATGTCGTGATAAAATAGTAACGGATTTTCTCAATTCCAACGCTTGGCTATCATCAGTTCTTTTGTCATGTTAGTATTAGTGACTAATTGCTTTGAAAAATGAAGTTGTGATTTTAGAGTTCTTTCTCGAGATCCTTTAACTTGTCGCTGCTTACGTCTATTCGTTCCTTAGAACTCTAAAGAGGCATTACAATCGAGCGGCATTACCGAGTGCCAAGTGACTCCAGCCGCAACACATTTCCCGTCATTTTCCTCTCATTCAGAAGTTTTGCTCCCTTTTATTCATCCCCCTCTTCATAACCCGCAGTTCCGCTACGGAGAGCTTAATTCTGCCTCTTTAAAATGATCCGCATTCCACCTGAAGACGACAGCAGACAAGAGAATTCAAGGGTCGGTGTATTGAAACAACCGAAGCCATTTGTCAGAGAGTCTGTCAAGGGTCGATTTACCCCCTTAAAAAAAGATAATTTCGGGAAGTCCTAATTTCAGTAATACCATCTTGATGGTACCCTTCTCTCACATTTTTTTTTCTTTTCTTTTTTTTAATACTCTACGTAGCTTTTTTTTTTTTAAAAAAAAAACTCTTTTTTTTTTCGTTTATTTGTTTACTATCAATTTTTCTCCTTGTGTTATTCTGTCGAACGCCTGTGGTGCCTCGCTCGCATTACGAAGCTGCGACAGGTGAAGAGGCTCTAGGACATTTGGTCGGGCATACTATCCCCACTTCTTGGGCTGTGTAACGTGAGCGATCATGGCTCTCCACGATTACCACTCCACCGTAGTTATATGCAATTTTTTCCACCATGCTTCTCAGTGCATGTTCGGCCGTCCATTTAGTTCTATTTACACTATTTACATCGCTCGGACTCGTCATCTTTATTACCATATTCACGATGTTTCAGACGTTATACGCTCACGACTTCTTCAGGTGATATACGTTGGAATTTCGAAACGAACCCTTTATTTAGTCCGCGGGATAGGTTGTTCTAGTTCCACATGCCATGCTTACTGGATATATCAAGTACGCATGGCCCAGTAGATAAAAGCAGTGGTTGAAGTAATCCAAAAAGTGACTTGACCCAAACAGATGTGAGTTCAATACCTGGCCACAGCAGAGGGAAATTAGAGAGTTGAGTAAAGAGAATCAACTGAAACTGAGATATCCATTAAAGGCATGGCACAGGGAAGTAGAACTACATATCCCAGTGAAATAAAGTGTTCATCTGGACATCCCAATGTATATATCACCTGAAAAGTTCAGAGCGTACAACAGCCGAAACGTCGTGAATATGGCAATAAAGATGAGGACAACGGTTCGAACGATCTAAACTGTGTAGTTACAATACCTCATCTCAGAAATATAGACAGATCGTTAGTTAGTTTTCTCGATGTTTCCTTCTGTCTTTCTTGTATGTCATATGAGTGTTAAATTTTCCGAGCATTCTTTTCTTATTATACATTCGATAAATGCTGTTTCTTTCTGATTCTAAGTATAAGTTTTCTTTCTGTAACCGTTTTCCTTAAAACTTCCTCGTTGATCTCATGTTTTGTATTCGTGTTCTTCTCAGTATCCTTTTGTAGAACAATATTTCCTCTTCATTTGTGAGGAAATTGTCCAGTATTATTGCCATATAGGAGGATTTGTAATTTATTGATCTTAATTCATATTTGATCTTTCGTTGAATACTCATA